TATTAAAAAACAAGAACAAAATAATCTCACAATGCTGCCTACTATACATCACAGAGCTTAGTGTGGCAAAGACAACATATTTCCAAAAAGCATCAGATGCCCTGTGACAAGGAAAGTCCTGATCACAGAGAGCTTAACACTAAGAACAGCCATAAGTCAGCTTATGAAATGCATAAAAGTCTGAAAATTGAATCTGCTGTACAATTTAGAGAGGATAACAGGAAATGCCCAGCAGTCCACCCAATTCAGTAGATTTAGACTCGTATTTAGGGGGAAAATGCAGGAATTAGGTTAGTTTTTAAAGAAACACTAATACTTCCAAGAGAGTGGTGGCAAAGAAATAACAATTGAAGTATTTCTAGTAATTCCTAGGAAATATAAAAAGCATACTGGACTTTCTCACCCCCATTCAGTTGGAATTGAAACAGTAATTCTACAATAGTGCTTGGAATTTTTTAAGTACCATGCCAGAAGCTAAGAACAAATTTAAATATGATGCTACCATTAGCTTTGCATGTGGGCAGCTCTGTCCTAGTATTTGTGGAACTTAGGCACGGACAGCAAAAGCTAGCAAAAGTAGGTCAGATGGAAAATGTTAGATTTGTGATGATATGAGAAATGACATTGCATTATATATTATTTATATTTTCTCTCCTTTTCATTAGAGCATTAATATAATTGTTAAGACCCAATGACTGGTAATCATTGAATTAGCTACATCTCCTCACTGTTATGATGGTTAAAACTGCCCCTTCCAACACAGTAAAGAAGAAAAGTCCCATGGCTGTCCTTAATTACCAAAAAAGTTACAGCTTCACTTCTAATTGCACGCTGAGCATTCATGTGCAATTTTGGGTTTTTTCCACTTAATCCCTTGAAAAAATTTTGCTCTGCATTCAGTTTGTGTGTGTTTTTACACTCATGACGAGAGGGAGGGCAGTGGTGCTGATTGGGAGCTAATTTGCATTTTCAGTGAGAAACTCTGGAATGTAAGGGCAGGTCCCCAGCATCCTGTTTTCCTGCACTTCCTAAATCCTGTGAGGACTAGTGAAGGGTCTTTTGAGACCTGTGCTCAGTCACCTTGGCCACAAAACTTATGTGCCTTGAACAAAGGCGGAGACGACCTGAAGGTAGAAAAAAGGAGTCAAACTAGTTAAGCCTTCTCCTGGATCACTAGCTTCTGAGAATCTGAGTGTATGGCCCTCAAATTCACTCTATTCCAGCTGTTGAATAATTTATGCTCTATTCCTTTTGGAAGCTCCAAGGAAGTGGCCTTTTAAAGAACAGCCCATCGAAGTTGGCCTGAGGAGGAGTAATGGAATAGAGGGACACCCTCCCTCCTCCAGGTACCGAGAAGCACAGGTGCAGGGACAGCAGGGCAGACAAAAGTGCAAGACAGAAGACAAGCAAGGAACCCCAAGAAGCATGCTGGGGCAATGGGGACAATCCCTGCAGATGGAAATGAGGTGGCTGTTGGCAATTAGAAAATGGGAGCATCAGGTAAAGAGGACTGTGAGACCCCAAGGCCCCTCTGGAAAGGAGAGGGGCTTGGGAAGTTAGAAGTCTATTAAGAAAATGGGTGGAGCTCAGAGGAAAATAGCATCGTCACAGTCACAGGAGTCCCTGCGTGTCCTCATGATGGGTATGGACTAAGCAAACAACAGTTAATTTCAATTCCATACTTTTATAGCACACTCTAGTTTTACCAAAATAAGGCCTAAAAATGAATGCTACGCATGTTGATCTCTATCTTAAGAAGTCACAAGAATGTCAAAAAACTGAAACCACTATTTCTCAATATGCTGTCTCTAGATGAAATGTTATCATTTTTGTGTTTTACTGAAAGGGCTTATATTGCAAAAAAATGCAGTTGTATCTGACTACACATATGAACAGCAATGTATTCTAAGGTTTTCCTGGCTTCCAAACTAGACAGCTATAAAGTAGAGGAAACATAAAGTACAGAGTTCACTCTTGAAGCTGATAAATTTCCCTGTCCTTGACAGAAACACTTATCACACCATGCTATTATAGCTCTTAATTAACATCTAAAAATATTTTTCTTTTCCTCTACCTTAAATAGGGCTGTCACATGTTCCTAGGTCCTGGATAGGGATAGACAGTATTTCTCCGTATCGTGGTGACTGAATACATAGGTGAATACATGCCCCAGTTATATCATATAAATGAGACTGTGTGTCATACCGTCAGGCACACCTGATAGTATTGCTAAAGTATTAACCAGATTTTAACATATGCATCTTTCTTAGAGCGCATTTTAAATTGATGTGTTTTTAACATTACCTTTCTGAGTCAGATTAATATAATCATCTTTGTTTTTCATGTAAAGCTGAAGGTTTGCCTTGTTCATATAACCTTTTAACAAATGATTCAAATCAGGGACATTTGCAAGACTGGAACCTAGAATCCCTTAACGTTCAACTGCTTCTTTGCCCACTGAAGTGTGAGACTTATTCCCATAAGCGACAATGGGGAGGTGCTGGGCATACACTGGCTAAGTTTCTTAAAACAATAATACCCACAGAAGGCAGATCTGCGTTACCTTCTATTCTTACAGCAATGACTCACAACAAAATCAAAATAATCTGGCAATTGTGAGGAAGTACACTTTGTATAATAAGAGTAAAAAAGCAACATCAATGCGTGTAACTTTAATTAGATTCAAGGTCTGAGTTTCTTTTTTTCCTTCTTAGGTCCCTCCCTGAAGCAGTGGTAGAAACAGTCACCCTTTGGAATTTTGTTTACTGTGTAAAAACTGATATAGTAAAAAAAAAAAAAAAAAGTCAGCCTGCCGTCCCCAAATGTATCCCTGACAGGCCAACCAGTCACAAGAACGCACCCATTTAATCATACAGGAAACTGAAGTCATTGCTATTTTTACCTGATGTTCAGCCATCTGGCTTTCCGGGCTCCTGTCGGACTCAAGACTCTCATTGAGTTTCATCTCGATGGCCTCCATTTTTGTAGAGATGGACTGAAGGGAGTCCTGGTACTTTTGCTGGCGTTCCAAAGCTTCATAGAGTGTGCGTTGCTTTTCACTGATCTAAACAAGAAAAGGGATATTACCAAAGTTTTCTTGCCCCTTATCTTCCAGATTACAACATTTATTTCCTCACTGTTTTACCTCTGTGGCCCAACAGAAGGTATTCAACTGTGTACTGGATGTGTAAACTTTCTGCATGTATTTCATAAGACAATTGCTAAGGTCAGGGGTGTCTGGTGGGCTTAAACAATTTCACATCTTAAAGACTTACCACGTTCTTTAAGGTTTCCCAAGAACGCTGCAAATCACCCAGTTTGGCAGTAGCAGATGGCTCCAGTCCTGGTTCATAGAACTCCTGAACTGTTGACATGCTGGGGTGGACCTTTGCTGCATCTGACTGCAACCTCTCAGCAGACAAGGCTTGGTAATATGCAATGTCCTGCGAGTGGAAGCGCAGCATCAGATTCAGAAGGAAGACAAAGTCTAGATTAACACGCTCTGGGGACTATTTGCCATGGGGAGGAAAGGCCTATGATTTACCACTTTCACTGGGCACTACTAACTAAAGTTAGTAAATTCTTGGGATAAAAAAAATTTAAAGATCATATCAAAGCACATTACAATTGCTTTAGAATTTTGTTTTATATAGAAAAAAACAATGTTACCAATATTTCAAGTTGCCAAAATTCATTCTTATTTTATATTTGATAAAAATTTGATAAAATCCTTTGTATTTAAGTGGTACACAGGTATTTAATGACTGATTAGCTAGTATAGCAAAAGAAGAGAAGCTAAATGACCTAGTTCCTAAAATGTTGTTTAATGTATTGATTAAAGTTCTGAATAATTTTTAAAAGTACTTGATTTAAATAAAATTAAATCTGTAGAAAGCAATTTTTCAAATGTGGTCAGATCTCCACGATTTGTGAGTTCATTATTTACAGATATTAATTCAACTATTTTGATAGCAAATAAGGGAAAATGTAATAAGGAAGTTAAAACTACTCTAAGAAACAAAAAGATTTTCTTCTAAGTATTTCCTGGAAGTACACAAGAAATCAATCACCTTTAAAATTTTTTTTACTCTCTTGGGTTATAAGTAACATTACATATTGAGTTAGTAATGATAATGAAATTTATTAGATCAAGACATATAGTTGTTGTGTTTTCAGTTGTTTCTATGACTATTTATATGCATCTCAATAGAAATTGAATTGGCGGAATCATGTTTATATTCTGTGAATTGCTATCGTCAAGTTCTCTGTTTTTGCAGTCATACTGTTGAAGATAATTATGTCCACTTAAACTACCTGAGCCTTATTGAAAATCATGTATTGGGAAAAAGTACTGAAGAAGGCCCCAGTCATCTGAGAAACCAAGAAAACAGCCTGGTGGTTTGGAGGGTCTGTAAGAGGGCAGGAGAAGGAGCATGCAGCAGAATGAGTTCAGACTAGAGTCAGAACACCTGAAATAGTTGAAATTCTCCTCCTAAGTAGCTATATGATTGCAGCCAGTCACTTATACCTTGTGCACATCTTGTCCCTCATCGCTACAACACTGGATGGTTTAGAGCATCAAATGAAGTAACATTTCAGTGACTATGACACCTTCCACCCATTTTTGTTGTTGTTGTTGCTGAGGCTTCCAGATAAGTCCCCAGCATTTATTGATGACATTGGAACATGGGACTGGTTCCTCTTCACTCCTAACCCTGTCACCATCTTGGGTGGATTACCTCGATAGGCTCAAATCCACTGATCCTCACTCACTTCTACTCAACTTCAGTCCTCTGCACCCTTGAATACTGTCATTACAGAACTGCCCTCCCCACAGGTACTTCCAGCTATGTCCAAAGTTACTTAAACCCCTTTCTTGCCCACATTCTTGTTTCCCTTGTCCCTTTAACCTTTGCTTCACCCACTTAGAAAACCCCCAAAATGACTCAAGCCAACTTTACTTGTGTGTGTGTGCATGTGTGTGTACATATGCATGGTGTGTGCTAAATTCCCTCAATGGTTAACTATTAGCTTCTGGATGACTTTCAAATTCTTCTGTGTGGCATTCAAGTTCCCTCATAATGTGGTTCCTGCATTCTTCCAAGTCTCATTTCCTCCCCCTCCTCTTCCTCCAAACCTATGTCTCTCCAATTACACTGAAACTATATGCAGTTGCCTTGATGGGCCTTTTTCTTCCTGCCTCCACAGCTTCCCACGTATGGTTCCTTCTGCCTGAAAACTTCATTTCACACGATCCTAGTGCACTCCAACTGCCTAACCTATAGTCCTCCCTTAACACGACAGGGCCATCCTTGACCTATGCCTGAACCCCAGCCTGGTTTAGGGGCTCGCTCTCTGTCCTCCCATGACACTCTGCGCTGCCCTCTGTCACACCGCTTGCCACACTCCATTGTAAGCATTTGCCTGTTCTCACACAGAAACTGTGAGCTCCTTAAAGACTGGGACAGTGCTTTCAGTCTTTCATCCTGAGCACGCTGTACAAAGTTTGGCAAACAGCAGGCAGGCATATATGTTCATGATGAATCCTGCTATGAAAGCACTTTTGTAAACTCTATTATTTCATATAGGTGGAGGGAATGCTGTTACTGTCCACAAAAAAAGCAAAAAGTGGCTTCGAATGTTGTAAACATTTTAAATTAAATACCCTATTATAAATAAAGAAGACCCCAAAAAGAATAAAATAAATTTGTTACAAAAAAAGATTGTTTTTCTGGTTCTGTGTGTATATGTGTGTGTGTGTGTAGCTCATGCCTATAGACAGAAATGGCAACTCTTGGTTTCTAAAAAAGATTTGAAAATATATCGCCTTTTATAAATGAATAATTTGGATCTATTTGAGGACTACGAAAATTAAATAAAATAAATCAATCAGTACTCTAAGTAACTACTAAATAAAGTCAACACTTGCTGTAGTGAGGAATCACCTTTAGAAATATGTCTCTTGTTGCTTAGGTGCCCAAGTTATAAGAGTTATTACCCAGTAGATTCCTAAAGAAATAAATTTTAACAATTGTAGCTACTATTTGATCAGCATTTTCCACTTTAAAATGTAGTTTAATGATTAACATCATATTTAATTTTCACAATTTTGTGAATTAAGTAGTATTGTTTTGTTTTTCTTTTTGTTGGCTGGCTGGTACAGGGATCGAACCCTGGACCTTGGTGTTATAACCAACTAAGCAAACTGGCCAGCACAAATTAAGTAGTGTCACTTCTCACTTACAAATGAGGGGGTTGAGGGACTTCCCAGGTACACTCAGCTTAGGGAGGAAGAGCAGGATCCAGTGTGAGGTTTTTGACTAGGAGGCCAGTGATTTCCCGATTACAAGATTGCTCTTCTCAAACCTATACTTCTCTTAGCTCTTCCATGGAACTAAGTCTTGGCTTGTTCGTAAGGGGAATTAAGAAGCTTGCAGCAAATGCAGGGGATGCCTCATTATTTCTACCCTAAAGTAAGCTAAATTGTTGCTACATTTTAGCTAATAGCTACTGTCAGAGATAGAACACACTGACTGTGAGTGGGATCCGTTCCTTGTATAATGGAGATCTACTTACAGATACAGCAAGCACAAAACCTTTTTTTAACAGCTGTGATTTCATAAAGCAGTTATATTTGGCTACTCCTTGAAACAGCTGTGCACATCCTGTGCAGGATTTTGAACTTGAAAACTAGAAGTTAAGGGGCTCTAAATGGCTTGCTCAGTTTCAAGAGATGATTTTGTAAATCCAATGCATTACTGGTCACATTGTTGTAATTTTTCACTGTCCTCTAACATATTACTGTACGAGAAGAACACATGGCAGTCATGATGGGATTGATTTGTTTCAGCAACACAAACATAATCTGTTTGCTTTTTAACAGCTTCCTGAGTAAAGCTAACTGACAAACTAAATAAAGACATTTTCTCCTAATTTGCAGCATCACATACAAGTATGTTAGATTAATAATGCAATTTAATTAATGTTTTCCTGTTACTGGGGAAGAGGTCTCAAAGCAAGATTAAAACAAAGGATAATTTCACTCGATTTCAGGATTTGATTAAGCTTTATGGTTGATGCCAAGTAATAATAACAAAAATGTTTGCATGTCTTATCATTTATGGGGCACTTTCATGTGCACATTGAAAGACACTTTACAAGAAGCAGCATGGAGAGAAAAGGTGTATTTTTTCCATAGTGCTAGTTTCAAAATGAGTATTTATTGTTCTATTTGAAAACATTAAGCATATTACACAATTTTTTTCTATACAATAGTCAGCTGACTATAGACCAATTTCTCTGATTCTAATAACATCTGTGGCCACAAGGAAGAACATATTGCCACAGAATGAGTAATAACATATTTTTATATCAGAATTTGGGGAACAGTCTCCCAAATCCCCCAGAGCACCCTGAACTTCTCTTTTTTTGTTGTTGTTTTTAATTCCCTCCTATCACTTTTGTTATTATTTGTCCCATGTCTACCTTTCCCTCGATTGTAAGGTTCTTGCAGGCAGGACCACAGCTGCCTCGTTCCTGGTTACATCCCAGGGCCCAGCACAAGCCTTTGTGCCAAGCACATGCTCAGAATGTATTTGATGAATGGATGAGTTGATAAATTCCCTAGAGCTACACTGATTTTTACCAAGAGAACTGTATAACTGTATTATCTAAAGGTTTCATCACTTTTATATTCCTTTTTCCTATTTTGAATGCTTCTGCTTTAAAATAAGAGTAATATACTTGATTTATAATATAGCTCATAAAACACATTTGCTCTGTTTAATGCTTCTTCCTTGATAATACATCTCAACTTTTTGGAACACTTACATAATTTCATACAATGTAATTAAAAAAAATTTTTAGTTGCTTTGGCTAAAAACCATAATGAAGTATTACTTAACATGCATAAAAAGTTTTTGTCTTTTGTAAAAGCATCTTTTTGATTTATATTCAATATTTCTCATGAAAACTTTTTGACATTAATTCAGTGTAATCTGTATTTAATATCATGTATTCTAAAAGGTATCTCATAACAAAAAGGTATTATCCCCATATCATAGGAAATAAAACATAAGATTATTAAAAGGTAAGTAAGAAAACTCAAATCTAGTAGGCAATCCAATATACATATTGGCTGACATCCCTTAAACTGGTCCATAATTAGTAAAGAAAGAAAAAGTATGATATAATGAATAGAAGTTTTCCTTCTTCAAAATCTGAGCTGGTAAATGTCAGCACTATGTTCAATGAATGTTAACATAGCCATAGGATCGTGTTATTTTACAACAGTGGCACAGACCTTTCATTTTCTGTTAGGATGCAGAGCCCCATCCCAGGTGACTGTTAGTAACTACAGCTATCAAACCTTCAAACAGGGCCTTCTTGGGCCGTAATTTTCATGGCCTAATTTTTGCTCATCTCAGTGTCAGTAGCTCATTAGAGGAGGTGACATACTGAGCCAGAGATCTCACATGACAATCACAGTTTGTGTCTAATGGTGTGTTTCTAAAACCAAATGCAACGAAGTCTAATAGTCACACCCACAGTCTAATGAGAACAGAGAATGGAGTCCTGCATCCTCCCGGAACATTATTGCTAGAGGAACACCAAGTGGGAGGTACCTGATTAACAGAAGCATCTGTATTAGCCACAGGTGAAGGGGAGCGACAGGCAGGTGGAGAGGAAATCTCACTGTTGGTTCCCTCCTCCCCAGACTCCTCAGTGACAGGTGACAGCAAAGTGTGACAGCGACCTGCAGTCATCTGCCACATAAAGTGTAGCCCAAAGGACATGAAAATCAGTTAGCTGTGTTATCAAAAGACCTGGTTAGGCACATGTCAAAACAAAGATAATTACATAACAAAAGTTAGAATTACTGAGACCCAGTTTACATATTAATTCTGTGTTAGTATTTAAAAGATTTGTCTTCAAGTGAATATGGTGCTAGGGACCATTTGCAAAATAATCGGGGAGGAGGGTGCATATCACATTTAAGAGTTTTGTTTTTGATTAAATACTTCAATTTTTTTGAGTGTTGTCTTTACAAATAACTAGAAAAATCAAGAATTATACAAATGGGGAAAGGTTCTACAAAATAAAGCTGGGTCTTTGGTGAACATCTCAAGTTTTGAATATCCTAGGGAGATAAGTGCACCCAAAGTAATATATTGCCAATAGAGGCACAGCACATATGAGGGAAAATATACAGCTCTGGCAAACGCTGTAGATACCAAAATGCTCAATGCACTTTAGATGCAAAGTGTATAGGAAAAAAAGATACACAATAAAACTTAATAAAGTTTATTCATTTTAATCCAAAGCTAAACTTTGTTTTTTCTTCTATTTTCTTATTTTTCTAATAATAGCTTTTCATCTAATTTTTATTAAACATTTATACAACATGCATATATCTGGTCAGCTTGAAAAACACAACTAAATATGAGTATATGTACCATGATTCTACCATCCCCCAGACAACTAGAACACTGCAGAGGGATTTGTTTGAAGGCTCAGCCTCTCAGTGCTATTGCTACATTATAAACGAATGCAGGGCAGACTTTCAGCATGTTAAGCAATTCAGCGGTCTCAAGCAAATAGTTTCGTCTCAACTGTTAGTGTTTACTTTGTCAGAGACTGGCCCCGGCTCAGATGTAGTCAGAGAGAGTTAAGGAAGCTGTTTCTCGAGTCAAATCTACAAGATCTCAGGCCGATCCCCAAAGCAAGCCCAGGTGAGGGAAGGCCGGGCTCCGGCGAGCAGCGCAGAGCGGCGGAGACTGGCGATCCTTACCATGACCACGGAGGGGTGGGCCGAAGGCGCGGGGAGGAGCTCCCCATCCAGGTCCTCGGTCCCTTCCGCCAGCCCCTCGACCTCGGTCACCGTCAGCAGCATGGTGGCGTGCTTGGCTTTCATCGTCAGCATCTTGCACTTGGAGTTCAAAGAGGCGATCTGCTCCTGGTAGCCCTTGATTTTCTGAGCCAGCTCCTGAGGAAACATGCCCCCCCTCCGTGTGTCACAGCAGCATCAAAAGGAAACAGAAGCGGCGGCGTTCATCTTCCTGCAGGGCGGCCAATGAGAGCGCAGAGCTGAGCGGGCGGCGGCGCCCCGAGGCAGGCAGGATGTGGACGGTGCAGCCGCCGAGTCAGCCTGCATCTCCCCGCAGAGCCAGACCGCAGCCTGCAGCCCGCAGCCTGCACGGAGAATGCGGGAGCCGCAGTGGGGACAAGGCAGGGGGATGCAGGTGAATGGCTTCTGAGAGCTGCGCCCTGTGGAATCATGAACTGCCCTAACAGTAAGAACTGAAACTTTCTTTAAAATGCCTACAGCATCTGAAATTTACCAGATGGTTCATGCCATGGAAATGAGGTCATGTGATGACTGAAACTATAAAAAAAAAAAAAAAAAAAAAGCAATGCTCAGCTCTTACCATATCACATCCAACAAGAAGGTAGTCATTTTTTATATAGATAGGGTCACAAAGTCAACTGCCTGTCTGTTCCTGTGACCCCAGGGAAGTTTTTTATTTTTTTTCATAGATAAGCTAGATATTGCATATGAAACCTTATTTTTTTAATGCAGATTGCCCCCAAGTAAAAGTTTGTACATTCATCAAATTTTCTCTCATGTACCCCATCACATCACAAATGTTGCTGATGCTTCAAACTAGAGCTTTGAATTTGAAGTGCAGTTCAAATATAATGCTGTTTAATTTCATTTGCTTTTAAAAAAATTTTTGTGAGAGATATAAGTATTAAAACTTTTACTAAGAGCCTATTGGAAATATATTCTAGACGGCATATAGCTCTTAAAAAGGTAACTAAAGATCCATTTTAGGAGTATGGTAATTCTAAAATATTAAAGTTATCCTTTCTTGCTTAAATATTATAAACATTAAATATCAAAGTTATATTGCCTTCTATCTTTAAAAAATGAAAACGTATGTATATTCAAAAACATGCATCTTGAAAGTGCAATTCTTTGCCTGAGAAACTATCCTTTAGTGTTCACATAGGACATATTTTGTGACAAAGATATTAAATGTCAATGTCTTTAAAATGACAGTGTGTGTATACAAACAAGAGGTCTTCAAAAAGTTCAAAGAAAGATTTGTATTATCTTTTAATTATGCTTTTCCATGAACTTTTGAAATATACTTACATTCATATATATATACATATTTTCTCATTCATATATATATGAATGTATATGTATAAAACACACACATATAACATTTTGTTATTGTTGGGTTTTTTTGTTTCTTCCCTCCTAACCAAACCTGTGTAGAGGGGAAAACAGTCCAGATGACCTCAACCAGCAGCCTATCTTCTTGACTTCTAATACATAGGAATTTTAAAAACAAGGATTTAAAAAGTGAAAATTATCATTTCTTTACCTCTAGGGCTGCAGATATTTAATTGAAACTAATAGGGTTTACTAAAAATAGTGATTAAATAGCTATTTACTACATCTAGTCTAGTAGCCAGTACTCAATAAATGATACTTATTATAATTAGTTAGCATGCACATATAGAAGACATCTACCAGTTTACTGGATTCCTTGAATTCCAAGTCACTAACTGCTGTGGATTGGACGTCCCTCAAACTCATTGAAGCTTGATCCCTATTGTGACAGTGTCAAGAGAGTGGAAAATCCTATTACGGTAATTGAGAGGTGCGGCCTTGAAGAGGTGATTAGATTGTGAGGACTTTGCCCCAGCCAGTGGATCAGTCCATTGATGGTTTAATGGTGGTCATGGGCTTGTTCTGATGGGCTTTGAAAGGAGAGCATGTGAGAAGCTTGCTCTCTCTGCTCCTGCCATTTCACCATCTGATACCCTGCATCACTACAGCCACCAGGAAAAGGCCCTCACCAGATGTGTTTCCTGGACTTTGGACTTTCCAGCCACCAAAACTGTTAGCAATAAATATCGTTTTTTTACAAATTACCCAGTTTCAGGTATTTCTGATATAAGCGACAGAAACAGATTAATACACTAAGCTTTCTTACAAAGGCTTGCCCCAGGGATAAGTCTGAGGAACGTTTGTGAAGCGGACAGTTAGTCTTAGCTCTTCCACCTTTTGTGCCCTCATGGCCGGTCACAGCTCCCTACTGCAGTTCTCTACAATGGTGTGCCCATTCCCTAAGCTGGAATTCTCAACTTTATTGTGTGTAAAACTCATTGGGGTTGTTCATTAAAAATCCAGTTCTGGTCACTACTTCCAAAGATTTTGATTTACTAGGTGTATGAGAATCTGCATTTCATCATTAGCCTATGTCACTCCAATGCATTTTAAAAACAGTACTCTAGAACTTTCTCTGTAAGTCTAAACCTGCTTATATCTCATTGCCTTTGTGGATTGGTTATTCACGCTCTGATCAAATCCACTAAAATAAAATGGAGCACTAATGGATTAATGTGTTACTCGTTCTTCAGGAAGTATATATATATATACACATATAAATTTTAAAAATATTCACAGAGTATTTCTGAAAATGATTATAAAGGTGGGAATTTCAAATACCATGGCCGCTGGAAGAAAGCAGGCCTCTGGGCAGCCTTCTGTACCCAGGAGCAGGTCTCTGTGCCAGGTGGGAAGCAAAGGGGTCTGAGTATTCACTCCTATGATTTAAAAGTGGCAGGCTATTTTTTTCAAATTAAATGCAACCTTTGAAAAATTACAGAAAATAAAATGTGAATTTATTAGAAATGAATAAATTTATCAGTTAATTTTATGAATTAAAATGATCAGTATGAGAGCCAGATTCATCTTAAGATTAAAATTCCATTGAAAGCTGACAGAAGATACAGGCAGGAAAAAGGACTCTTCCAAATTTTTATGTTGTCATTAATCAGGCTTTCTCTCCACTCAGCACTTTCCTTCCTGTGTTTGTTTTATACATGCAATGGACCTCTCAGGATGACATCATTATTTACAGGAAAATGTGTTCTAAATCACATGAGAAAACTAACAAATGTCAACATTGCTGTTTGGAACTGTGAAGAGAAAATGTGACAAAATGAACAAATCACTGAACTAGGATCCAGGAAGACCAGGTCTAGCGCTGACCGTGCTGAGAGTTCGCTCCGTGACCCTGGGCAAGTCTATTTTCCTGGGCCTGCATTCTTCTCTTTTGAGTAATGGAATAGCCCAAATAGTTTCTGCTACAGTGGGAAAAATCACAGAATTTGGAGCCAAAAAAAATGAGTTTGATTTCAGCTGCAATCAGTTACAAGATTTGGGAGCTCAGAAAGTCACTTTAAAAAGTCAGTTTTTTTAGTAAAATGTAGATGATAGAAAAAAAATTCATACCTCACAAGGTTGTTATAAAAAATAATGTAAAACATTGTAAGTTATTTTAAGAAATATAAAACAAAAAACTTTAGTAATAAGGATTATTGTTATTTCAGACAAGATTTTTTGTGTGTGTGGCTAGCTGGTAGAGGCACCCGAACTTGTGACCTTGGTGTTATAAGGCTGCACTCCAACTGTCTGAGCTAATCGGCCATCCCCCAGACAAGATTTTTAAAATATTTTCTGTACCATGTTAGAGGAGTTGTTACAACAAAATTCTGGATTTTATGATATGGCATTAAAAGTAGTTTCAAAATAAATAATGTAATATATAGTCTAATGTATGCATTATATAAGGATGATTTCAAAAATTTGCACAACAGGGCTGGCTAGTTAGGTCAGTTGGTTAGAGTGAAGTGTTATAACACCAAGGTCAAGGGTTCAGATCCTTGTACTGGCCAGCCACCAAAAAAAAAAAAAAATTGTCCAGAATATTTTCATTTAACCAATTTGTAAGAGAAATAGTTAACACAGATGATGTCTACAGTTGTAGGATTAAATGTAGGTGGGATATTTAAATTACTCTGTTAATCATACATAAATGCAAGTGATTGGCGTATTGCATCTGTCAAGAAATTAAAAAACTGCATTTGGAAAAGGAGGTAGTTAGGTTTTCTTTTTTTGTCTTTCTTGTGACCGGTAAGGGGATCGCAACCCTTGGCTTGGTGTCGCCTGCACTGGCCATCCCCATATAGGATCCGAACCCGTGGTGGAAGTGCCGCTGTGCTCCCAAGTGCTGCACTCTCCTGAGTGCGCCACGGGGCTGGTCCAGGTTTTCCATTCTTAAAAGACAACACTTGAATCCTCTGAGAACCTCACTATGATATTTGGTTTGGAAAAATAGTTTGTTGTTCTCATGACAAAGTTAAAAGACAGCAGATGAAACAATAAACTAAATGACTATCCTTGGCACAGAGAAATAATACACCTCCCGCCCAGTAGCTTACCATAATTTATGGTGATATAAACCAACCCCCAAGGGAAAGAGTGAACTTGACCTATATGGAATTGACAGGACTGGAAAAGAAATTCACTGCTAAGTGTCAATGAGCTCAATCATTTATGTGCTATAGACTAGGTCTGCACAGGAATGTCCAAGTTCTAAAGTCATCATTATGCCAAAGGATCAAGGAAGCAGGTATGTTTGAAAATAGAGGAAATGCTAACAGGTCCAATCTGAAAATTAGCAAAGTAAACAACATGGACCATTCTCTGATTTTGGTGAATGGAACTGAAATGACTAATATTTGAAAGAGCAAATGATTTTCTTTTTAATATGAAATACTCCTTTTTTTTAAGAGGTTGATTAGTGCAGCAAAGCTTTGAACTCCGGTGTTTCTTAGTCTCTAAAAACAGGTAGTAGAATATGTTTTAGTGTACTAACTGTGGGAATTTTGGGTGCAGGAGACAATCAGTGGGTCCCAGAGGAGATATGTCATGAACAACAAGGAAAGAGGTTGTGAAATCAAGGGGAAGACTCACGTTACTGGATCAGCAAAAATCACACTCCAAATGCAAAGACAGCCAGAGTTGCTGCCCAAGAACTGAACACGTTGCATGCGGGACAGGGGGAGAACTTTCTCTTTCATTCACTAGAAACCAACCATATATTCCAATGAAGCCAACTCTGCCTATATTCCTGTCTCACCTCATGCCGAGAAATCTGGGCTTGTAGCTCCTGGATATTACTGGTGGCCACGGGTTTATCCTCAATCTCGGTGTGAGCACCTTCTATCAGCTGCTGGAGATGCTTCATTTCTTGCTCATAGTGTTCGTACTGCACCACGGCCTCCTTAAAAACAAAAACAGACAAACACGTGATTTTCTTTCTATGTCAATACCTGAATAAACGATCCTGTACTGCATTCTGCCAAACTCTACTGTGGACTCCTATTTTTACCTGTGTGTCTAGGGGATAAAGAGATCATAAGTGAATTTCCTAGATGGTTCAAATTCTCAGCTTTACTTAAATATTTCAGAACTTTCTCTCTAAAATATTGTAGCCAAATGATTGATGGAATCAAAATAGTTAAGTGGTCAGGCTTCTCTCTCTCCTCCCTACCCGTATTGTACCGAAGATGGAACATAATGGTCAGAAGGTGGCAAGCAGTATGGGAAACAGGATTATTTCATTTTTCCATCTAAAGAATACTGAATGTATAAGTAAGACACTTGGCTCAGTGCTGCAGTAGGGGATAAAATTATGAATTACATGTGACTTCTAGCCTCAGGAATTTACTGTCTAGCAAATTACAAGATAATGTAAGAAGCAAGGACAGTTGACCAAATGGACCACTAGTGATTTTAATGAGGGTATTTATACAGCTTTTGAATAAAGCAGGTAAATATTAGTTGAGAGGAGATACAAGGTCAATAGCATCATTTCTTCATTGTAAATGATTTTCTCTCATTAAGTAGAAACTAAGAGTAAAACTTAGGTGCCCTTCTTGGGCAGGAATATGCATGTAATGCCTCAACAAGCTGAAATATGAAAATAAAATTTTGTAACATATGATAACAGGAAACCCATATTACCAGGTTCTAGATGATTCTCAGGTAAATAATAAGAGATAAAAATATAGGATTGCCTATAAAATTAACCTTCGCCAGTTGTTCTTTATTTAAAAAAAAAATCACTAGAAGATAGTTTTCACCAAAGGATATTTTTTACAGAGCTTTCCCCAGGCTTTTGTGGGCGAGCCAAATGATAGCATTTTAATCTCCTTATTTTACATAACCACAAGGGTCTGTCCAATTCAACACTCTGGATGTGTTTTGCTGGCTGAGCCCACACAGTGCTAAGAAAAGCAGCCCATGACTCATTCGCGATTGCTCTGCCAGCGGAGGGGCGGCTACACCTGCCTGCATGATGTTGTACTGCTGGATAGCTGTGTGCTGCAAGCGGCTGGCCTCCTCCTGCAGGCGCAGAGCTGCGTGGCACAGCGGCAAGCTGGTGACCACGTCCTCAGGGATGCGGAGGGCACTCTGGCAGAGCTGCACAGCTTGGACCTTCGGCTTTAATGACTCCATCTCAGACAACAAATGCTGAAATAGTTCAAAAACGTATTATTTTCATCATTTATTTCATAAGCAAAAGACATTTCCTAAACTACAGATGTGTTACAAGTTATAAACATTTTGCAAGGAACATTCTTAAAATAGTGCAGTGTTGACACTGTAACTGAGTTTAGAAAGTATTTTTCCTTGCTGTCCTCTTTTTATAACATAGGTCCCCACTCACTGGCCCTAAGTTGTTTTTGCATACCTGGCGATGAGAGAGTTGCTCCTTGAGAGTAAGGCGTCCGACTTCTGGAGAAGTCAGGGTTGTCTGGGCTTGCTCCAAAGCAGCTTGTAAGTTTTTTAGCTCGGCTTCGAATTTTTTCATATCCTGGAGAGTAAAAGCCACTTGAATATCAATATATTACATTTGAAGTCCAAAGTCATAGGTGAAGAATAAAGTCACAGTCAAGACACCATATCGCAAGTGAGCACTGAACCTCCATAGTGGCATCACCTTTTAAAAAAATAATAAACTTTATTTATTTATTTATTTATTTTTTACCTTAGCTGCATCTTGGAGGTTCTGCAAACGAATTTTGATCATCTGCCGCAACTCCTCCGTCTCCCGTCCCAGTTCGGCCACTTGTTGAGACATTCTCTCTGTACAGTACACACTAGTGAGGGACTGAATTTTCTCGGTCATTGCCTCCAGATCACTGTGAATTTCTTCAGATTCTTCTAGCAGGGTCTAGAGTGAATTGTCCATAGGTATGACATTGGCAGGTGGGCAGAGAGGTATTGGTAATCAATACAGTGTGGTGTAAAGACGACCAGACTGGGATGGGAGTGAGAACTAAGTTGTAGCTCACACTTCCCATGTGTTTTACCTTCACACCCCTGTGCCCACTTGGTGGCCACCTGCCATTATCCCTATTTCATAGAGAAAGAAATCAAAGTTCAGGAACTGTAATCTAGTGCCCAGGCCACGTGTTACTCATAAGGCTCAGCCTTGTGTTTGGACCATAAGTAGGCTCATGCTGTCAACCGCAAGATGCCCCCTCGTGAGAGTCAGGACAGTAGTTTTCCAGCAGTGGTGAAGCTTGAACACACTAGGTGTCTTGATCACATCTCTGGACCTACCTTTTCCCATATTTAAACTGAATAAGTACTTTTCAGCTCTCATATTCTACATCTAAGATCTAAGAACATATTAGTCTAAGAAGTGAAAATAAGACAAGAGCATTACAAACCAGCGAAACACCTGTGATTATTTGCTTTAAGTGAGACAAGGGGCGAGAAGCTACTTGCAGTATCAAGAGAAGAAAAACACAGCTGTAGTCATTCTGGGTGGTATTGCCTACTGGGACCAACAATAACAATGGATAAATGACCATATGAAATGCATTAGATGAAAAGCACAGTGAAAGAGAAGCCAAGTGTTGAGGGATGACACTGGCAGGAGGATGTTTGAGATTTGACAGATGGGAAGGGAGAGGAAAGACATTTCACACAGAGGGAACAGCACATGCAAAGGCACAGAGGCAAGTGAGCACGGCACACGCGGTTAGCGGGGGTTGAGACGTGAAAAGAGGAGATGTGGGAGACGGGATAGTATTCTTAGGCAATGGACTCTATTTTAAAAAATAAAGTACTCTTTTTCTCACTATGAACATAATACACATATATTACAGAAACTGAAAACCTAAAGAAGAAAAAATATTCCATCATCCTATAACCCAGAGATAACTAAGTAAGAGATAACTGCTGGTACGTTTGGGCATATTTTTAGATAACTGAGAACATAACATTCCTACAGTTTTCCATCTTTCTTTTTCTCATGACATTAGAACACATGCCTTTTCTCCCTGTGCATTCTCTTCTGGATAAACTCAGGCAGCTTTAATTTCTATGGGAGGCACACCAAGAACACCTCAAAACAGTGTCTACAGGCTGAGTTCTCTCCAGAGCATCTGCACCAGAGAACCCCAGTACCTGATGTCTCTTTACCTGTTCCCCAAGATGCGGCTGATCCACCCAAACGTCCAAGTCATGAAACCCTGGGATTGGTCCTGGACTCTGCCCTCTCATCCACCCACATCCGATAGTATCCAAGTCCAGGAATTCGAGCTCCTTCATATCTCTTGATTTTGTCTTCTCTTCTCAATCTCCAAAAACAGACTCTGACATTTTCTACTGGAATACTGAAACCACTCATATTGTCTTACCTGTTTTCTACAGGCTTCTTAACTTCTTAAATACAAGTCTGAATTTGTCACTTGCAGGCAGAACATCTGCCCGAGAATGAAGTCGAAGTTCTTAACAGACTTTCATGTCTTTTTCGTATCTCTCATCCCTCTTTCCAGCTCTCCAGGATCCAACACAGCACCCGTCACTATTACTGCTAGGATTTTGACATCTGTTTTTGTCTAAAACACATTTCACAACAAGTGGGCTGCCGTGTTTTTCAGGACTCAGCCTACTGCTTGTATCACCTTTTCCTAAGAAGGCTTCCTTCACCTTCCTCTTAAACCCCAGGCAGTCTGAATTGAGCCCCTGTTCTGGGCTCTTCAGCACCCCGAGCCCTTGATCTCTGCACTTATCACACCATAAGTCTCCTTTCTATCTGTCCCCTCTTCTAAATGATCAACTCCCTGGGGCAGGGACAGGAAGTGTTCATTGTATTCCAAATGCCTACCAAAATTCCCAGTTTGGGAAAGTACTTTGTAAATGTTTGTTGAATAAAACATTTAACAGCAGGAGCTATTTTTTTTAAAAAGTCTTCATGATCACTTTAAGGACTACATCCCATCATATGTATATATTTACATATATATTATACATACATATATATACATATGCATATATTTACTCAGAAAATTATTTGACCTTTAAGTTTTCTTTAAAATTTTACTACAGCTATTAATACTGGATAATTATTTTCTACATTTTGAATTGCAGCCTTAGTAATGAGTCCAGAAAGTAATCAATATGTCAGAATAGTCACATGCCTGACGATCACCACACATGTTGTCAATTGTTTTTCAAAAAGATTTTATCAGGTACCAGCAGTATTAGAGAGCTCTCACTTTCTTAAATATGAACTTTTAAAGAATAGTGTTAACTTGGCAGTTAAAAGTCTCTCTCTCCCTCTCTTTTTTGCTTAAATTTGCATTTCTAGATTACCAAAGAGGTTGGATTTTTTTTTTT